CCCAGCCAGGAATTCCTTCCCAATATCCCATCTAACCCTGCCCTCTGCCAGTGGGAAGCCATTCCCCCTTGCTGTGTCCCTCCATCCCTTGTTCCAAGCCCCTCTCCAGCTCTCTTGGAGCCCCTTTAGGCTCTGAAAGGGGCTCTGAGGTCTCCCTGGATCCTCCTGCCCAGGCTGGACACCCCCAGCTCTCCCAGCCTGTCTCCAGAGCAGAGGGGCTCCAGCCTTTAGAGCATCTCCATGGCCTCCTCTGGAATCGCTCCAACAGCTCAGAGATAAAATATCCCCCCTCTGTGGAATGTGTTTGGCACTCTGGGTGCTGGGACAGACACCACCCCTGCCGTGGGAGAAGTGCTTTTGTTGTTTACTGTTTCTATTCCTGGCTTTTCCCAGGCAGCAGCTTCTCCTCCTTGGTGATTCAGTCCCTGAAGTCCCAGATTAGGGTAATCAGGTTCCTTAAGACACATAAATATTTCCCTGCAGGTCCTTCTGGCAGGCTGAGGAGTTACCTGTGGGACAGAATCAGTATCTGCAGGTGCTGCAGGTACGGGCAGGGCCAGGCCAATCATCCAGCTGAGCTGGGGAGGGACAGTTTTACGTTTAACCTGGTCTTGTGCCAGTATTTTTAAAGATAGTGCTGAGCTCTGAGCCAAGTTCAAATTTTAGCCAAATCAAGGTGGAATACGAAAGAATCTACTCAGAAGAGCTGCTGTGCAGCACTGCTAATACATCTAAGTGGGCTTTGTCTCTGGTGGAGTTAATGAGCTGCTCCAGCAGTTCCAGGCATCCCAGACTTAGTGAATACTGTGGTCAAGATCTGCCAGTCACACACCTGCAACCTCCGCTGGCTTCCTTGGTTAGGTTAATTACAGCAGTGCTAATCATCTGGCTCCTCCTCGGTTAAACCCACCTCAGCCACGCTGCAGACACAGGGTGACACCTGCCAGCCCTGTCACCTGGGAGGACCTGCAGTGCCCTGCTCACAGCTCCAGCCTGGCCCCTTCGTGCTTGTGCATGAAGAGGATCAAACACCACCAGGAAGGTAAGGATTGGCTCCTCTCCTCTCTGGAGGAACTTCTTGTGAATGAAGAAAAAAAAATAGACCAGTGTTTTCCAAACTTAATGGGAAATTTATGGTCCTTTCAGCACCTGAAAGACATTTAACACGGAAACAATGGTCTATAATTAGATAATCTACACTGGGTGACATTTTTGGCAGGTATTTAGGTATGACTTGAACACTGTTTACAGAAGCAGCACCACCCCAGGAGTCAGGGAATATTCAGTTTACAAATTACTGAACTAGGTAATTGCACAAAATAAAACTCTGTCAGCCTTTCACGCCAACCAAGCAAAAAGAAACACTCAGGAGTGTGTCAGGGTCCCACCTGAGCAGCACCAGCTGGAATGTGCTGTTCCATCCCTGTGGTCACAGGTACACCCCAAAAATAGCCCAAACAGCACAGACTCTTCTGCACCTTGGTGTGGAGGCTGCAGCTGCCACTGCTCCTGGGGGCTGGGGCAGGAGAGGTCCGTGCAGGGCTGGGGCAGAGCAGGGGAGAGGAAGGAGCAGCTACTCCAGGGGTGATGCTGCACACGGGGCTGGGACAGGGCACCAACACCCCAGTGTGTGGGAGACCCTCCCTGAAGGAGGGTGGGTTAGATGTGATATTGGGAAGGAATTCCTGGCTGGGAGGGTGGGGTGGCCCTGGCCCAGGTTGCCCAGAGAAGCTGTGGCTGCCCCTGGATCCCTGGAAGTGTCCAAGGCCAGGCTGGATGGGGTTTGGGGCAACCTGGGCTCCCCAGTGGAAGGTGTCCCTGCCCATGGCAGGGAGTGGAATAAGATGATCCTTAAAATCCCTTCCAAGCCAAACTTTCTGTGATTCCATAAGGAAACAGGACTGGAGCAGCCCTGTGAACCAGAAGGACCCAGGGAAAGCTGAGCCTGATGCTGGTTGAGCAGCATTATTTAATAACCTGGAGAGCTTTGTCACCAGGATGAAGTGCAGGTACCACTGGCCAGAGCAGAACATGGGATCTGGGGAACAGATGCCTCAGGCAGGGAGCAGGGAGGGAGGAGCTGCTTTTTCCCAAGCACAGGCTTACAGGATCTCAGACAAATAACTCTGGACAGAAGTGTTTGCTGCTGGAGTGGCCCAGGCCAGCAGTGGGTTCACAGCCCAGGGAGCTGAGGGGCTGCAAACAGAGCCCTCTGAGCAACAAACCTTCACCAACACTCTTGTCTGGGCAGTGCTGGCACAAGGTTGGCTTTGCAGTATTTGGCCTCCCGTGGCCAATGCAGATGACTGGACACAGGCTGAAATGTCTCTTGGTTTGTATCACTGAGTACAGCCAGGCTGAAAAGCCTCCTGGTTTGTATCACTGACCACAGCCAGGCTGAAAAGCCTCCTGGTTTGTATCACTGACCACAGCCAGGCTGAAAAGCCTCCTGGTTTGTATCACTGACCACAGCCAGGC